AGGCGTTTTTACAGTGTTGCGCATTTTAACCAATCACACACAATTCTGTTGAGCTTAGGAATGCAATGGCCAATCAGAGGAGTTCAGATGAGTCATCTTTGAAACTCATCAGTTTTGTTGAGTGTGCGCGCGTTCGCTAACTGAATTCCGGACTCTTGCGAATTCTCTCATCATAAACAACAAAGCACAGATGTACGTACAATGTAAGTAAGAGATTCATTTCACAGTGTATACAGCTTCAGTGAATATAACGATAGTTTTGTTTTTTTGAGAGTGCTTAAACTCACGATAGATCAATGTTAGTGATAATGTCACTTTCTATATATAATTTATTCGCTGTTTGAATAACCGTAGGAAGGAAAGTTAATTATCAATTTCTAACGTTTTTATTCAATTGTAATCACGTTAAATACAAATTCAGTCCCATTAAACATTTTTTTTAGCCTACATTACACCCATGTCTGGTTCTTGCCTAAAAAGACGGGTTTATGATGTTTAATACATTTGGCTGCTTTTAGCCTTACCCTGGAGTTGGTTCACCCTCTGCCTATGACTGAGACATTGAGACATGGCGACCTCAATATGAGGAAACACTTTAAAGACAGACACCCGGATCAAATGAAAGAGTTCAAGCAGGTAAGTTTCATTTTAATTTTTAATATTTAGATCTTCTCAGTGTTTCCCAGACATTTCCCATACATACATTTGTGGCGGCCAGCCACAATATCAAAACTCACCGCCACAAATAGATTTTACAAAAAGCTTTGAATTCGTTGAATAAACATGAGCACTGCACGTGGCAAAGTTGAAACCTAGTGCAGGTGATTTTATATCACTGTATTTCTGAAGGAAACCAACTGTCAGAAAATTATGGCTGTCATTTTCATTTCATCTTGCCTGTAATGCCTGAGCAGCATTTGTGAGCGGAGCGCTTATTTGATTACAGCCGTTACCGGGGAAACCAAGCGCCTCCTGCTGGCACAGAATGAATTTGCATATATATATGCCGCCACAAGAAAGAGTGCAAGTCTGTGGGAAACACCGCTTCTGTTATGAATATTATTCAATATTTTAATTTGAATGTCGGATTGAAATGAACATCACTGTTATTAGAGTAGTTAATCGTTAGCATAAGTGCGGCTAACGCTAATATAATGAACATTAGAATGAAGTTTCTTTATTAACTATTTAATGCTCCTATAACTTTTATTAGGGTTAAACAAACAGGAGGACATGATGATATTTACTATTTTTACACACCAGACGCATTTAAATGAATTGTGAATCTAAAATATGCGTGTTAGAGACTGTACAAATTAGGGGTGGAACGGTTCAACTTACTTACGGTTCGATACCGTTGACTTGATTGCAAAGATACTATTTAAACTGAGCTGGATGTTGACATCACTGAATTCAATGATGAACTCTCTTTAACTGAAAAATTTGTGTTTACTATTGTCATTTTGCATTATTGACACACTATTTTCCTAATTAATGCTGTTCAGTTGCTTTGACACAATCTGTATTGTTAAAAGCGCTATATAAATAAAGGTGACTTGACTTGACTTGACATACACACACACACACACACACATACAAATCAGACACTAACATCTAACACAATAACCACCTGCTTAAATCTTATCAGTTCATAAACTGACTGATATAATTGCAGAGATAAAAGATAACTTAATATAATCGCCCTGCGCACTTCAACATCACCACATGTTGATTTACTGGACAGATCAGCCTAGCCCTAAGTAAAAGTAAATTTACATGGCAAATTACTCTGGTAAGCTCTGAGACTAAACACACAGGCGTACAGGACATCCACCACACTAAAGCTTAAGAGAGCATACACGAAGCACAACTCGTTTGAGGTGAATGTAGATACCAAAGTTTCATTAGTTTCCAGTGGCGCGCGAGATCTGTAAAGACCTGACTGCGCGTGAACTCGTCAATCACAAAGCAGCTGGCCAATTCAGTGAAATACTGAGATTGGGCTATTTAATATAACTTACCAAAACATTTCCACTACTATAATATTGGAGTTTACTGCATAACGCACACTGAACGCCCATGACAAAGCAAGAAAATAAGAAAGCCTGGCTCCAACGTTTGCAAGGTTCCAAATTAAGCCATCTAATAATAGCAAGCATAAATATAACTTAAAAACTCACCGAGAACACTGCCGTTTACCAATAAACATGAGCTGAGAGCGTGTATATCACGCATAAAACCGTTATGGTGTCAATGACAGGTATCTCAACTCTCTGAGGCGCGTCTCACGAGGCTTTTAACGCCAGCGACGCAAGTCAACAAGCGCTCAGTGTCTGGCAAACTCTCCGGTTCAGCTCTCACTGAACGAGGCGACCCGCTTTCTGGCGTGAACCGACTCACACCTGGTCGAGTTTGACCGTGACCAGATATAACACGAGCTCAAGTCCCGGTTTTTTAACTTTTAACCGGTCGTTAACACACAGACGAACGCAAAATAACAAACAGGCACCCGAAAACCAGAATGAGTTTGTGAAATACGGCTTTCCGATCATACACGATATGAAATGAGGCTGTCACCTTCAGCAAAGTTGTGGCATTTACGGTTCGTCGCTGAGAAATGCCGATTCCTCGGTCCGCTGTCCTCCGCCATCTTGGATCTGTGCAAACTTTGCTGTGACGTCGCACAGCCCCAGTTTCCCTCATACTGTATAAACAAAAAAGTAGGCCTATGTAAGAAGGAATATTCTGCACTTTTTTAATGTCACTCATCAAAAAAGTCAGTTTGTGGCACTGATCGTGTGAAAGTCCAAGCCACTCAGCAATATGTAATACAGTATAGTCATTACTAGAATCTGATTATAAATGTTATACCTCATAGGCCTATATTAAACAGCAGCAACTGCGCTTACTACAATAGAAACGCTGCTGAAAAAGGCCTTAACTAATTGTTGACCAAATTTGTGTTTTTAAAAGGCTAATACCAATATTTAGAAGTAAGCTAACTTAATTCAGATGGTCAGATTTCTTCCAGTGAAGAACAGAATGCTCGTTGGATCTCTTTGGAGAAAATTGTCTTAATGTTTTACACAAATTTGTGGTTCAAAAAAAACAAACAAAAAAAACATTATAGTGATCTCAGATTTATGCCATAATGAAATTATTTCCCGGAGAAACTACAGGAAACAAAAGAGGTGTGAAGATTTAAAGGAGCAACTCTCAGAGGCACAGCATATCTAGGACTGGTCTATTTTTAGACTGACACGTTTAAAATCCATCTGCATGTGTTGCCCGTTTTATAACTCTCCAGGTCAGAATGTCACAAACTAATTCAAGAGGAAATGAACTATCAAAGCTGTCAGCAAATGACACTGTGGTACAGATTCAATTCATAAAATAGTAATTGTATTGCAATAATTAGTGATCATTAATAAAATGTCATTATTGTATTGTAGTTATTATTATTTATTATAATTAGTATTCCAGATCAATAGCTTTTATTATTAGATCTTCAGTCTTAAGTCTGATTCACTTATCGGTCCTCTTCAAATCCCACAAAGATTGCTTTATTTTGTACTATTACTGTTGCAATCTAGACAAGTACTACAAGACAAGAGATACGTTATGGTGGAATTCATTTTTCGGGGGAAAAATGTTGTTTTGCCATGTCTGTTTTTAATATGGTTTTTGTTCATGTGCAATGAGCTAAATTTTATTAAAGATTTAAGTAATTTCTTTAGCTGAATGTATTTTAACATCGATGTTTAACTATGCATTTAAAAATGCATATTACAAACCAGGGCCATCCTTAGGGGGGTGCAAATGGTGCGGTGGCACCGGGCCCCACGTCGAACGGACCGAGGGGGGCCCCGCTCCCTACCTCGCACCGGGCCCCGCGTCAGCTAAGCACGGCCCTGTTACAAACTCAGAGCAGCAGCACCAATGGCCAAACATTTCTACATTTATAAATGCGCAGTACTGCCCCAATCTAGATGGTGGCAGTATAACACCAACAAACTCGATTAACTTGCTCAAAATCCGACAGAAGTGGAGGGATTCTGACACAGTGGGCGGTAGTTTGTAGTTTATTAACTCAAAGTGTAGTCGTTCGTGCTGTCGTGCAGTAACTTTGATTTAAATGGTGGAGCAGTAAAGGCTGTCTGAGCGAGCGGCTTGTTTGGGAATGACGGAGGTGTGTAACGAGGAGCGGGGCCCGGCGGAGAGATGGAGCCTGCGCACCGGCGCTGTGAGTGTGGAGATCCTCTCTCTGGGCTGCGGGATCCAGTCCATCAGGACACCAGATCACAGCGGCCAAAGTGCGGATATAGTGTTAGGATACGATGATGTAGAAGGCAAGTTTCAGTCCATGGGAAATCAGAGCTGGAAAGAGTTTCATTCTTGTGAATGGCAGGTGTTTGTGACTGCTGTGTTGATTAGAGACACCTGGAATGATTTCTTGACCTGTTCTAACAATTTCCAGCCAGATCTGGCCAATAATGATTCTTTAAAACCCTCTGGCCCTCTTCGTTTAGGAGTCACACTTGCCTCATTCGCAGTCAAAAGTGAACGAAGCCTTGAAATGTAACTTCTTTTTTTTTTTTCAGGAAAATCAATGTAATATATTTTTGTTCAAAAATATTTTTTGATTAGGCTATTCTTTATGATTTTGAGGGAATTTTATGATACCATGCAATATTTATACAATTTTAATGAGCTATTGTCTCCATTAGAATTAATATCTTTTTTTATTTCTTTATTTATTCACTGTTTTTTAATAAATGCAATATTTCACATTAAAATAGAGTGAAGGCATTTAAAATCCATTTTTTGAAGTGAGAATTGGGCCAACTGGAGGCATTAAAAAATAAAAACTTGTGTAATATTGCATATCCTCTTGTATTAGCACCCTATATAGATATGTACAGAGGTTTTTGGATTCCCGTTGTTTTTTAGATATAATTTCAGATATATGTATATATATATTTTTTAGATATATATCTAGACATTTCTAAAAGACTACTTTTTGTCAAGGTTTAGATATTTTTGGTTAGATAAGTATCATGTTTTACATTATGATTACAGTCAAACATTAAAATCTTGTTAGAAAGGGAACACATAGAAAGCATTTTTGTTACTCAATATTTGATAATTAAAAAATCTAACAAAATAACGAATGGATAGTGATAATTCAAAACACTTTATACACACATTTTGTAATTAATTGATATTTTATTCAATGTAATTCAATAAATGTTAATCAAACTAAAGATCAGAAATGAAAATGTTTTCGTATTTCCCATTCATTTCTTATGTCGGTCATTTTTGACTGCGAAGAAGTCAATTGTGACAATTTTTTTTTTGTGACCCTTTTAACATATCCAAATCATGTCCATGATTTTTTTGTGTGTTCATATTGCTAATGTGACAAAAGTCACCAAGTGTCATCTCATTCCGATGAAGCTAAGATTTTTTACATTTAAATTTTTTGTTCAAAAATTACCGAAGAGGGCCAGAGGGTTAATATCTCAGCTGTTTCTCTTAAACAGCAATTAGATTACAAGGAGAACAAAGGAAGGTTTTTGCATTATAGATTTAAACAAAAAAAAATAGATTAATTCAAATGTTTTGAAACATCCAGTTGGTGAAACATTTCTGTATGTAGTCAAGACATTTCTCACGAAATTCTCCTTAATGCCAATCTAAGCTGCAGATTTCACTTTCATTATAAAGCTCTAAGTTCTTCCTGAATGTCAATAATTAATTAACTTGTTTCACTCAAAGGGATTTAGGAGACATAATTTTTATTTAATGATTTTAATGGCAAGGATTTCATACAGCGGGTAAAATAAATAAGTATTGAAAACGTCACCATTTTTCTCAGTAAATATATTTCGAAAGGTGCTGTTGACTTGAAATTTTCACCAGATGTTGGTAACAACCCAAGTAATCCATATATGCAAAGAAAACAAAACAAATAAATTCAGAAATTAAGTTATGTGTAATAAAATCCAAACACACAGCCAAGGAAACTCTCAATTGGTTTCAGAGAAAGAAAGTAAAGCTGCTAGAATGACCAGTCAATCAAACCTGACTTGAATCCAATAGAAAATCTATGGAAAGAACTAAAGATCAGAGCTCATAGAAGAGGCCCACAGAACCTTCGAGATTTGAAGACACTGTGGAAGAATGGGCCAAAATCACATCTGAGCAATGCATGCGACTAGTTTCTTCATACAGGAGGCGTCTTGAAGCTGCCATTACCAACAAAGGCTTTTGTATGAAGTATTAAATAAATTTCATTAGTTCAATACTTTTTCCCTGTGTCATTCCATTTTATTATACATAACTTAATTTCTGAATTTATTTGTTTTGTTTTCTTTGTATGTATGGATTACTTGGGTTGTTACCGACATCTGGTGAACATTTTATGTCCACAGCACCTTCAGAAATATATTTACTGAGAAAAATGTTGACGTGTTCAATACTTCTTTCACCTGCTGTAAGTCTCCCTATAAAAAGCAACTTCTAAGTAATAAAATGTTTCAATAAAAATTTGTAATAAATCAATGTTTTAAAAAATGAACTAACTGAATTTAAGTGTATTTATATTCTTTCATTCATAGTCTAAAACATTTTCTTTGCACATTTTAATCAAGGTGTTTGCTTTAAAAAGAAAGTCCAAGTCACTCGGCAATATGTAATGCAGTATAGTCATCAGAATCTGATTATAAATGTTATACATCATATATTAAACCGCACTTAATTGCTGAAGCAACTGTGCCAACTACAATAGAAATGCTGTTGGAAAAGAAGTCCTAACTAATCGTTGACCAATTTGTGTTTTTAAAAGACTAATACCAATATTTAGAAAGCAGGAGAGCTGATGTCCTTTATGAAATAATACTATTAACTAAAGCAAAAACAAAAAGACATGCCGAAATGCATACAAATTGAGGGAACTGACTGAACGATTGCATAACATTTACTTGCTTCACAAACTTCTCTCACGACAGATGCACGTTTAAAGACTTGAAATAAACACAAGTGGTTCTCAAACAGATTACTTCAAATGATTTAAAATAAGACAACAAGGTTTAAAATAAGCTAAACCATTAAAAATCAAATACTTCTAATTCACCCCCTCCACAACAAGGATGTGGAAACCTGTTTTTAAAGGTGTGATGATTTCTAGACCTGGAAAAGTCATTTAAATGAATACAATTTTAAAACACCTTAGACACTTTTATAAAGAATGTACATTTTGCTTGCCAAGCTCTAAAATATTTCATCAGGTAGAAATTTTGAGTAAAAATATTAGTAAAATTCCTTATCCAGTAATTCATGAACAACTGGACAAGTCATGCCGATTCACTGGTTAAAAATAGTGGGAACCCTAAAGAATATTCAGCACTTTAAACTTTTGGAATCTTGACATTTCATTTACAGAAACTAGGAGAGTCGGGCCTTTGAATATGGTTGCAGTCAAAGGTTGAGAACCACTGCTGTATCTATCACTAGACCTAACTATAGAGATATTGAATGAAAAACATGCTTAAAGGGTTAGTTCACCCAAAAACAAATTCTTTGATCTTTCAAGCTGTTTCATGGCAGTCAGCGGGTGCTAATTAGTGACCGTTGTTTTGTTTTGATCTCTCCCCTGCGCTTCCGCGTTCGTCACTTCTGAGCGGCGCATGCGCAAAGCTGACCTCATACGTCATCCGCCCGGAGCTGCTTCCGTTTACAACAGTGAGCGCAAGCTACATTAAAGTGATTATTACGTTTTAAATATGGTTATTTTTCTTCAGGAGGACTTTGTTCACCCCCCTGAGCCGTGTGAGACACTTTTTATTATGGATGGGCACTTTTTATTTCACTTCTTTTGGACTGAAGCACTGTAACACCCACTGAGTGCCATTAAACAGATTGAAAGATCAAAGGCAAATTTTTTTATAACTCCGACTGGATTCGTCTGAAAGAAGAAAGTCATATACACCTAGGATGACTTGAGGGTGAGTAATTTATGAGCTAATTTTAATATTTGGGTGAACTAACCCTTTAATTTCCTTTATTTCATACTAGGTTATCTCTCAAACCCTCGCTACTTTGGAGCTGTGGTAGGCCGGGTTGCAAACCGCATTGCCAAGGGCCGGTTTGTGGTAGATGAGAAAGAATATAAACTGGCTATTAACAATGGACCCAATGCTCTGCATGGAGGACTGAAGGGCTTTGACAAGGTAAATTTGAAATGAAAACCATCTCTATCCTTATTCTCCAAAACAAGCTTTGTCAGCAGACATCATTTCTTTAAGGACGTTTGTGTGTTGTAGGCCGTGTGGACCACAGAGGCGGTGGATAATGGAGTGAAGCTGAGTCACAGCAGTCCAGATGGTGATGAGGGTTATCCTGGGAACCTAAACGCTTCTGTCACTTACAGACTGGAGAAGAACACACTGAGTGTACTGTACTCTGCACAGACTGACCGTACTACAACCATCAACCTCACCAACCATTCATACTTCAACCTGGCTGGACAGGTAGGGCTACAAGCACAGTTTATAAACCTCGTCTTACACTGCATGGTTAAAGTCTGTGTGAACTGTCTTTTGTGGACACAACAGGTGTATTCCTACTCTTAATGAATGCTTTTTCGTATCTGCAGGGGACACCAGACATTTACGACCATGAGGTGACCATCTCAGCAGAGTCGTACCTGCCTGTGGATGATACGATGATCCCCACAGGTATTTTTAACCCATTATTTTAGAGAATTCGATCTTTTAAACGTCTATGAGCAGAAACTGTCGAGCATGGTTTTGTGTGGTTTCTTTACTATGTACAGGGGAGGTGAAACCTGTGGAGAAGACCCTGTTTGACCTGAGAAAGCCTGTCCTCCTGGGCTCTAGACTGAAAGAGCTGCCTGGTCCAGGCTTTGATCACAACTTCTGTCTGTGTTCACCTGGTGATCCGCCACTGGAGCGAAAATGTGCTCGGTAAACCGTTATTTCAATTGGATTATTGAGCCTACGTGATTACTCTATATGTGCCTTAATATTACTGCCCGTGTTGGTCTGTGTAGAGTGGTGCATCCTGGGACGGGTCGTGTTCTGGAGGTGAGCACTACACAGCCTGGGGTTCAGTTCTACACGTCCAACTTCCTGGATGGGACATTGAAAGGAAAGGGTGGAGCGGCTTACTCCAAACACAGTGCCTTCTGTTTAGAGACCCAAAACTGGCCAGATGCTGTTAACCAGGTACTGTAAATGAATTAAAAGTACATTTTAGTTCAGACCAAAAAAAAATAGTAAAATGTACACTATTCAAAAGTTTGAGGTCAGTAGGATATTATTTTTGATACTGCTATTCTGTTGGGTGATCAAAGTTGACACTAAAGACAACGTTGCAAAATGTTCTTTTGAACTTTCTATTAATCAGAAAATCCTGAAAATACTTCAAAATTTTACTGTATTTTCGATCAAATAAATAGAGCCTTGGTGTGCATGAGACGTAAATTAAATTGTTCAAACCCCAAACTTTTGAACTGTTGTATACATTATACTATATAACATATACAGACCATATTTGTGTACTTGTTTCTCTCTCTCTCTCTATATATATATATATGTGATGTTTTTGCTTTATAAAAAAAGCTAATGTTTCTGAATTAATGAGAGATCTCTTCTCTTCTCAGCCTCATTTTCCTGATGCTCTTCTGAGGCCAGGAGAGACGTACACACACACAACACGCTTCACATTCTCAGTGCTCTGAAATTACATCAGCATGTGAAGTTTACTTTTACAACAGTACACAACTGCACACTTTTCTAGCAGAATGTTACATGACCAACATATTGTACTGCTTCTATGACCATGATATTGTATTTCTAGAATTTGCTCATGTTTTAGTATGGGATATTTGTTCCCCCTACCATAAATCCTACACTAACACAATTACTACTTAAAGTTAAAAGACATTAAGGTTTGCTTGTAATCATAAATGTTAATGTCATCTAATAAAAACAAAGCCTGTACAAAATATTATTTTTTTGAGGTGAATACCATAATAGCATTATCCAAAAAAAAATGCAGTCATGTAATGAGACAGCTGTAACATTTTTAAATTTACACAAATTATATAAACGCAATAGAATCACACAATTATTTTGTTTATTTTTAAAAGAAGAAAATCCATTATTTTTTAACCCAGTTCATTTATTTTTAAATACACTTGATATTGCATCTTTTGGCAAACGTATGACTTTTCATAGTAGTCCCACATTATAATAGAAGTTAATAATTCAAAACACAATAACAGTGTTTTATAATTTGGCACAATTCATACTCACAAATACCTCATGCCATACATTCAAGATTTATGCACATGCTGTCTTGTTGCTATAATATTGCATTAAAGCAGTCCAATATGGACTCTGGGATTTAGGAAATGTCTGTGTGAAATCACACAATGCCAAAGTATATTTTCTGCATCTACTCTGTAAAAGAAAATGAAAATGTTTCAAGTGCCTCCACAAAGTTCAACAAAATCTGAAAAAAGGCTGTTTTCAGGTGAGCATCCCGCTGTTATTTAATTGTGAATAGTGTGTGAGAAGAACGCTGATGCTACTGTGTGGAGATGAGCGACACTATGGTGTGTATGATGCGAGATCCTCGAGGACAGCTGATCAGATCCATGCTGGGATTTCTGATCTTCTCCTCTAAGAGCTGATCCAACTCCCACCGCAGCTCTTTCACCAGCTCAGCCACCTACACAAACACAGTCTGAAATCAAACACTGCCATAGCATGATATGATATTCTAGTGCAAGTCTCTTTTACCTCATGAGACGCAGCTGCAAATCTGATCCAGCCATCGTCCAGAGAGATGATGAACTCTCCACGCTGCAGCTCCACGCTCACTTGCCCGCCACCGAACAGCACCATGGGATACACGCACACCATGCTACAGTCACGGAGAAACACTCGACTGGTCTTCACTTTCTCATGGTACACCAGGTATGGGCTGTCATAGTGCCGCACCTACAGAGAGGAACTCTTTTTCAGTAATAAATACATTCATTTTTAGATGCCAAGTCAGAGCGGATGTAGTTTAGGTGAGATGGTTACAGAGAAGTTGACAGATGAGGGGTGTATGGACGGCTCCATCACTCTTGGTCATGAAGCGCAGCTCCTCTGCTTTAGGCTGCATCTTCACAGCTCCTTTACTAGTGAGCTTATACTTCCCCTGAGGAGATCTCACCTAAAAGCATGGCGTGTTTCATACACATTCACATGAAACATCTTACACACCAGTTCAGAGAAATCTGTGCACTGACCTGGACTACATTAGGGTAGAGAGCCGCACACAACATGGCTGACATCAGCTTTGTGTTATCAGAGTTCAGGTTGGCCTGTGAGGGACAGAAAAACAAAAGAACAGGTCACATGTTGTGAGCTGATGGTTTTTACCGAAAATGTTTATACAACTTGTATTGATTTTACCCAAGAGTCTAAAACAACACATACTTAAACCTACCACTGAACAATTTCTGTCCAGAAGAGATGGGATAAAACATCTTACAAATAGTTTTGAAAACCGCACATTTTCCAAACTGATGTTAATCAAAGAATGATCACTAGAATATGTGATCAAATGCACCATTTCATCTAATGTTCTCTTTATTTTAACATAATTATATTACATTGATATTCATTAACACTCACTACATCTAAAACAAGCAGTCTTAGACTGCTAATAAATAAATTAAATATTTAATTTAAAAACAAAAATATTTATATAAATATTAATTTTTTATATTTTAATTTCAATTTTACAACTAAAAATCCTTCAGAAGGTTTCAAAGCTGTGTTGTCAACACTGTCAGAAATGTATGAAAATGCGCAAAAATTTAAATTCTGTCATCATTTACCAAACAGTTGACGGTAGCCATTGACTTCCATAGTATTTTTTCCATAATGGCTACCATCAGCTGTTTGGTTACCGACATTCTTCAAAATATCTTCTTTTTTTTTTTTTGCATTTGGCAGAAACTCACAGGTTTGGAAGAACATGAGGGTAAGTAAATGACAGAAATTTCATTTTTGAGTGAACTATCCCTTTAAATCAGGCAATATCAAGATGACCTTTTCACATTTCTATGATCTTAAGTACATAAACTTGAATTTCTTTCAGTTCTGTAGTTTTCGTCCCAGCACTGAATCACTGTTACCTCATAGCCTGTGGCCTCCAGCACCCCATCACTTCCTTTTGAGCTCATTTTTTCAATGACCCTGGCCTTCAGTCCATCCTTCACAAAGCCAATGTCAGACAGAAGCTCTGCAAACTGCCTTTTAAGACATGCTATCTCCTGAGAGAACACACACGCAGAGCAGTTATGGTATGCCTAAATGACTGATATCTACACTGAGCCAATCAGAGTCCAGTCTCACCTGTAAGCCCCGGATCGAGAGGAAGTTCTCTCTGTAGAACTGGTAACCAGCCTTAAAGCTGCTCTGTGCTGCGTTACACCAACCCTAAACAGAACAAACATCAGTGCAAGTCTTAATATTTATATCAAAACAGCACATTTCATGCACATGAACTGAGTGAATTATGAACGAAAATGCACCCAATAATGAACAAGTTTCAGATTATTACCAGAAATGCATAATAAAGAAATTTTGGCTGATATGATCAGAAGTAAATCAGTATATTGGGGAAATAATTTTTATGACTGATCGTGGTGGTCTAGTTAACAAAAGAAAAACATTTCCTAATAGCATTGTCAATGGAAAATATTTTTTTCAGTATGTTCACATATTGAATAAATATCATGTAAAATGACTGTTCATTTCAATTGAGCAATGTATCTTATTTACTATTATTAAATTGCATTATTTATCTATCAATATATATATAAAAAAAAACATTATAAAAAAAAAAGGAAAAACTTACTGGAAGAGCCATATTAAATATTACAAATCTATTTAGAAGTTCGGGTCAGTGAGATTTTTTAATGTTTTTGAAAGAAGACTCTTAGGCTCACCATTGGGCTTATTTGATCAAAAATACAATGTGAAACATTACAATTTAAAATAATGTCATGTCACATGATCCTTCAGAGATCATTCTAATATGCTGATTTGCTGGTCAAGAACATTTATTATTATCAAAGTTGCAAACAGTTGTGTGGCTTAATATCTTTGTGGAAACCGTGATTATTTTTTTAATTTATGTTTTAAAATTGGAAAAAATGAGTTTGATGTTATCAGCTTCTAATATCAGCCTAATAAAACCAATTGCGAGAATGAAAAAACAAAAACAAATAAAGAACCGAATGAGATGCAGATGCCTGTTGATGGAAATAAAAATTTTTTTCCTGTAAAATACACGAAATCTGAAAGACTGATAATAAAATTATTCAACAAATTAAGAAAAAAAAAAGAACAAGAAAGTGGTGAAGGATGTGTATACCATTATGAATTGTAGTCATTAATTTGATTAGAGCCTGAACTGACCTTGTACGCCTGCAGCAAAGCCAGATGGTCGCTGTTTGCCAGAGAGAACCCCAACTTCTTCTCGTTAGCTTCCTCTCGTTTATCCCAGGGAGACACCTGCGAGTATGGCAGGATCTCAGGTCACAGTACTGCGCTGGAGAAATAGCTTCCACATGTGTCTGGTGACTTACGAATGGACTCTTGAAGGCCAGGCTAGCGGCGATGGTGAGGACAGGGTCCAGGCAGCGGAAGATGGCTCCCAGCAGCATGAGTTTACCGATGCGGACGTCCACAGGCAGACAGGCCAAATGCCAACCGAGGGGAGTCAGAGACTCCTCGTCCGTCAGGTCGCCCAGGGCACACAGGCGCTGTTTAGCGGCCTCCAGACTGCCCTCTGCGGGCGGCTCAATAAGCTGAGAGAAAACTGACTCCAGAGGACGCTCCGTAAACACCTCCAACACCTTAACCCTGGGACAGAAAAATTTTAACTATTAAGATCTAAACAAATCACATAAAGTTTGCTTGTGTTGAAGGAATAGTTTACCCAAAAATGAAAATTAGATGTAGATGAGTTTGTTTCTTCAAGGGGAACAGATTTGGAGAAATTTAGCATTTCATCACTGACTCACCAGTGAAGTGAATGGGTGCCGTCAGAATGAGAGTCCAAACAGCTAATGAAAACATCACAATAATCCACAAGTAATCCACCCGACTCCAGTTCAGTTAATCAGTTAATGTCTTGTGAAGTAAAAAGCTGCATGTTTGTAAGAAACAAATCCATCAAGATGTTTTTAACATTCAAACTTTGCTTCTGGCTAAAATACACACAAGCCCACTATCCATAATATTGCTTTCTCCAAACGTTGTCTCGTCTAAATCAGGAGTGAAATATACACAGATCAAGCAAGCACTGTTTTACAAGCAAAAACAGTCCAAAACTGTTCTAAACAAATATTTCGGTGGATTTGGATATAAGAGGACAACAGTTGATGGAATTTGTCACTAGAGGAAGTGTTATTAGGGATTACGGATTTTGGCCAGAGGTGACGGTTTTAAGTTAAATAGCCTTAATGATGGATTTGTTTCTTACAAACACAGTTTTTCACATCACAAGACATGAACCGATGGACTGGAGTGGAGTGGATTACTTGTGGATTATTGTGATGTTTTTTTTTCAGTTGTTTGACTCTCATTCTGACGGCACCCATTCACTGCAGAGGATCCATTGGTGGCCAAGTGATGTAATGCTACATTTCTACAAATCTGTTCTGATGAAGAAACAAACTCATTGACATCCTAGATGGCCTGAGGGTGCATTTCAGTAAATTTTTCGCAAATTTTAATTTTGGGGTGAACTACTCCTTTATTTAAAGGTTTTTTGTTTCAACAGGGTTGTTTTAAGGTGGTTACCTTAGACAGAGCTGCTCCAGGGGCACTCTCTGAATCTCAGGCAGCTGCTGTTGGCTCAGGTGATGTGTGAAGCGATGGCTTGTAAACAGATGGAAGCAGACGCCTGACGCCACACGACCAGCACGGCCTTTTCTCTGGAAAGCATTGGCACGAGACACCCATACGTCCTCTAGACTCTCCATACTGCGACTAGCATCGTACCTAATACATGCACAAACATATGACAATGCATCCAAAACCACAAAGAATATTCAATGTTAACCAAGAATAATAAATAATCTATGTTTGGACAGCTTCTCAAACCTCTTCTCCTTCATCCGGCCAGAGTCTATGACATACACCACATCGTCAATGGTGACAGAAGTTTCAGCGATGTTGGTGGAGATGATGATTTTGGTCACACCCTCATGTGGGCGGGTAAAGACCGCCTGCTGCTCCTCATTGGACAGGGACGAGTGTAGAGGATACACTACACACCTAAAAAATTTTACACACAATCATAAATATATATCATCATCCACTTTTTACAGGTGAATCTGACAAACCAAAACATGTCCAGGTTGCATTTCAGCCCATAATAATTGTTTCATTAAAAATTATTTTTATATATTAACAAACTTAAAAGTTTGGGGTCAGTAAGACTTTTTTAAATTTCTCAAAGTATATTATGTTCACCCAGGTGGCATTTATTTGAACAATTTAATGCATTTTTGCTGAAGAAAAGGATTAACCCTTTAAGCCCTGAGGGCATTTTTGCCTCACTGAAGCTGATGTTTTTTCTGAGTGACTTAAGACAAAATTAATGACTCATAACTTGAATACTGTGGCAAGGAGAGTCAGAAGGTTGGTATCGTTTAATAGAAAACTTTCTGTACTTTCAGAAGGAATTATTTCATTAGGACATTCTCCTGCTGAGAAATAGCTGATAAAAATGTAAGAAAAATTTGAGTGCTCAAGAGATTGAGAGCTCATTTTTCATATCTGTCTTATTTGACATTCAATATCTCAGGACAGAAATAAGGTAGGAGGAAAATTCTACTTTGATGATGGTCCCCATCATGTTAGCTGTATCTGTTTCAAATTTTTTGGTGATAGCACAAAGTATCCAAAAGTTACAGTATTTTGTAACAAAATAGGCCTTTTTGTTTAGCTCTTGACTCCCTGAAGGAATTTTAAAAACTGTTGTTTTCTGAGTGCCATAAACAAAAATAATGACTCATAACTCCAAGACCGTAGCAAGGACAGTCAAAATGTAGGTATCGTTTGATAGAAATCTTTCTATATTTTTAGGGGGGGAAATCCTTGCATTTGAATATTCTCATGTTGAGAAATAGGTGATAAAATGTAAGAAAAATTAGTGTGGTCAAGGGAAATTTTTCATATTCTTATTTCAAAGAAATAAGGTAGGAGAACATTTTTTTTTGTAATGTTCCCCAACATGTGTGCTGTATGTGAATTAAATTTTGTTATCATGAAATAATCAGAAGTTACAGCATTTTGAACCAAGGTAGCCCTTCTCTTAGCCCTTGACAGTTTTGAAATTGTTGTTTTGAATTTGAAATAACGAAGTCCCAAACAATTATACTTCTTTTATTCTACTCATGAGACCTTTCAAATGACATATGACACATGACAATCCGAGCTGTATGTTTTTGACATTTTAGAGTACATGGCACAAAAACATTTTGTAAATTATGATTATTTATTTTTTTGTAATTTATCAGCAAATAACTCGGCACTACTTTGGAGTTAATCAAAGTGGCTACATGCATTGTAAAGCTCAGATTCTAAGCTTTCAAATTATATCCGTTTTTGAAAGGCAGTGGTTTGAAAAATATGATTAGTAATATTTTCGCGGAGGGGGGCGTCCCGCCCGTGATACACTTCGGTTTAGAGGGACTGCTCAGCACTCGTTAGGAGTTGATCAATGATACCTGTTTTGTGTTATTCCATTCAGGGGTTGCTTAGTAATTTGATTATGAATTTTTTCGTGCGGGAGCTCTGGTTTAAAGGGTTAATTTCTTTCAACAAAAAAAAATTATATATATATATATATGCACCAGGCTAATGAGATGACAAGTGGCACATGAGTGCTTCAATTAAAAATAATGACATGGTGCAAAAGATTATTTTCTTTAGATTTTTAGGTGGAAAAAAATTACTTGTAAAGACTACTTTAAGAAACTGCCAATTTACATGAACAGCACTGACTGAAAAACTGGCAGGATTACAACAATGTACCTGTTTGTTCTTCTATTATTGAACATCCTGTTAGACTGCAGCTGCTCATATAATTGCTTTATTTCAGCAAGTCCTGGTAGGAAGACCAAAACAGCACCTGTGCATTCACCAAAAAGGAAAAAGCAACAAAAAAAAACAGTCATTCACTGAGTTTTTTTAACCCTTCTAAGAAGGCTGTAATTATTTGAACAGTGCAGGGGTTTATGGAGCTCTTTACCTGGTGGGTAGCTGTGCTCTCCATCAACAATCCACTCCAACAGACTCTCCACCAGGTCCATTTTGATTTTATCAAGATCCATAGCAGCCAATGTTTTCACTACAGACTTTGAGTAATCTTAACAAGAGATGCACAAAGATGTACACAGTTCAGGGTGTTTTGTCATATTACACAAAGATTATTCAATAAGCAGGATGTACTTTGTACAATCACTAAAGACAGAAATGAGCATAGACAGGCTCGCAAAAACACAGAAAAGGAATAATAAACGGGCCCACAAAAAACTCACAGGAAATTAAGAAAAATTTGGTAATAAATCAATAAAACATGCTAAAGTGTTTTTACTGGAATATCGGACGGTAAGATCCTGTTGACTGAGCTGCTGATCAGGGATGGAGTCTTTGACCGAATCCTTTTTCATTAAGGACGTAAATGACCAGCTACCATCATCATCAAAATCCTCAACAGGAGCCCGTCCCTTCCCAGCCGTGCCACCCTGACCAGAGGAACGATTTTGCTTTGTGGAGCACCGATATGGACTACCATCTTCAATTACATAACCTTCACAACAAAAGAACAAACCATGCTGTGTTGTAAAGATTGTTTATAATTTATTTTTGTATGATGAATATATAACAATCATAGATGAAGCTGTATGTATTTTATGTGAATACTTGGTCTTAGCGATGGCGTCTTCAAGGAAGAACTGCTCCACTGGGAATGTACGTCCTTCAGATAGAAAAGTCCATTGAAAGAGAAATTTGTGATGGATTAAATTCTAAATTTACATCTTTAAAGGTGCACTGTTATATGGTATATCATACCTGGTATATGGATGCTGGGGCAGTTGTTGAAGTACTGTGAGAAGAGCTCGGCATTCAGGGTTGCACTCATCATAATTATTTTCAAATCCATCCTTTTTACAATCAGATCCTTCAGAACCAGCAACAGGAAGTCACTGTGAGACAGGAATCATGTGACTGTCAGACTCATGTGTGTGACTGTGTTGTAATGTGCACCTGTGCTTTCCACAGACCTCTCTTCTGTCCGTTCATGGACCTCATCCACGATCACATGTGTGATGCCACTGAGCTCAGAGTCGCCCTCTAGCCTCCGCAAAAGGACGCCGGTGGTGCAGAACATCAGCCTGGTGCTGGAGGACTGGATACAAGAAATTATATACAGACATTAATACTTTTTTTTTAAAATTTTTTCTTTAGCAAGGATGCATTAAATTGGTTAAAAATGAGTAAGGGTGTTTATGTTGTGACAAGATTCATATTTTAAATATATCTTCTGAACTTTCCATTCATCAAAGGATCCTAAAAAAGTAAATAATAAAAATAAGCAGAACAACGGCTTTCAACTTTGATAATAAGAATCATGTGACACTGAAGACAAGAGTAATGATGCTGAAAATTCAGCTTTGCATCACAGGAATAAATTCGATTTTAAAATATCACATGAATAAATGACATTTTAAAATATATTGGAATTTGACAGTTATTTTGTATATTATATATGAATATTTCACAATATTACTGTTTTTCTGTATTTTTACTGTTACTGTATCAAATTACTGTATCAAATAAATGCAGCCTTGGTGAGAATAAGAGACTTCTTTCAAATAAATTAAAGAGAGAGAGAGAGAGATTTTGACAATATTCAATTTACTATATCTTGTATATTGAGTATCTTGAAACTATATCTTGAAATGGCTCTAAAAAAGTTTATTCAATATATAGAACACCATGATTTGGACTAAAGTTATTGATGCCAATTGAATTAATAACATTTAATCTGAAAATAAAAACATAGTTACTTTAGTCAAATAATTTTCTGTTGATTACGGTAAATGATAACCAAATTATGACAAAAATTGTGTTACCCTGACGGTCTCCAGATGGATCTGATAGCCTGTGGAGTGACCCAAGGCCTCTGCTCGTTCCTGGGCCACTCGGGTCGCCACAGCGATGGCAGAGATGCACCGTGGCTGAGTGCAAATAACGTTGGCCACTCTATCCGGCCGTCCAGTCTGGAGGAAATTATCCAGGATAAACTGAGGAATCTGAGTGGTTTTCAGCCACAAATTATATGAGGATACATATCACAATCACACACACATCCAAGCCAATAGGGGCAAGACAAACCTACAACAGGTGTGTTACCTGTTTCCTCTTGAACTCTCTGCAGAGCTTCTTGTTCTCTTGCAGTATTTGCTCAGTTTTGATCTCGAACTTCACCATCCTCTTCCTCAAGTTAACATAGCTCTCGTTTTCCACTGGGATACATTGTTCTTCATCTTCATCATCATCACCATCTTCTTGTTCATCATCAATATCCTCTTAGGTATGAAGCATCTGATTAAACACAAATACATTGACAGAAGTTTCATTTTAGTATATATAGTTTTAATAATAATGATGAAGTCTTAAAGGGATAGTTCACCCAAAAATGAAAATTTGATGTTTATCTGCTTACCCCCAGGGCATCCAAGATGTAGGTGACTTTGTTTCTTCAGTAGAACACAAACGAAGATTTTTAACTTTTAACTCAAACCGTTGCAGTCTGTCAGTCATATAATGGAAGTGAATGGGAATCACAGCTTCGAGAGTCAAAAAAACATACACAAACAAAACCAAATTAAACCCTGCGGCTCGTGACGATACATTGATGTGTAAAGACACGAAACGATCGGTCTGTGCAAGAAACTGAACGGTATTTATATCGTTTTTTACCTCTGATGCACTGCAATGTCTGAACTGTCCTGACATTGACATTGACAGTTGAGATTCCCGCCCGCACCCGCACTCGCCCATCAAGAGTTGTCCCGCGCCGCACCGTTACATTGGGTCCCGCGGTCCTCCTGCGGGAGTGCAGGACTCTCCTACAGGGTGACGCGGAGGAGACGAATTGTTGAATAAAGTCGTTGTTTTTGTTTTCTTTGTGCAGAAAATGTATTCTCGTACCTTCGTAAAATTATGGTTGAACAACTAATGTCACATGGATAATTTCAACGATGTCCTTACTACGTTTCTGTACTTGATGATCGTGGTAGGATTCTTGCTGTCTATGCAGGGTCTGAGAGCTCGCGGAACGCATCAAAAATATCTTAATTTGTGTTCCGAAGATGAATGAAGGTCTTACAGGTTTGGAACAACGTGAGGGTGAGACATTAATGAAAGGATTTTCATTTTTGGGTGAACTGTCCCTTTAAGAGAAAAAAAATCCCTATGGAGAAAATGAATAGGAAAAACAAAATATTTGCAGAACCAAGGCCACTGTTGCCTCTATAGAAACAAACTCAAGTTCACCTAGTTGGTGTGTGATACTCATGGCTCTGAAGTTCCCGCAGCAGTTCTTTGACCTGCAGTTTGTTCTCTGAAGTCATGTGTATCTTCTGCAGGGGCAGCTGCACTTGCTCAGGTCTAAATCTGGATCTCATCTCCTCCTCGTCGTGTTTTCTGGCCAGTGCCTGATTTCTTCCTCTGCCGGTTCCTCCACGAGCCCCACGGATACCTCTTGAACCTCTAGATGAGGGAGGCTTGAATGACCGACTGCGACCCAAATCCAGGCTGAAATCATCCCCATCATCCCAACATCCACTAGCAGCTTTCCTGTTTCCACCTCCACCTCCTCTGGGTTTATTGAACCGTCCTCCACCCCGATTGGGTTTACTTCTCCTCCTTCCACTCATTAGTTCAGCTCCCTTTTAGTGTATGTCCTTTCAATTGAAGCATACGTGTGTTAATACACTTGTCCTGAAAACCATCTGCAAACAAGCTAATATAATAATTTCTTATATATATATATATATATATATATATATGCTTATTTATATTTAACGGCTGACATTTTATTTGTAAGGATTATAAACATAAATCAACCATTTAAATATAGAAACACAGCAACCAGACATGAGTTAGGACGTATTATACATAGTATAAATGTACACTATATGTTGTGAGTACAGACAGTTAAGAACAAATACACGTTATTTGACAAAGAAAGCCAGCTGACAAATCATACCGATCATCGAGCCGATATTGAAATCAATATGAAGTCTCGCGAATCTCTTGCTGTACAGTTACAGCTACTGTTGTATCAGTAGATTGAAATCAGCAGCAAGCAAAAGAGGTTCGACAGGAAACATGATGCATTTTTCAAAATAAAAGTCGGGCGTGAAACAAAATAAAAACTTGAGTTCTGGCGAACAGTTTTGGTTTTGTTTTATTTTATAATTTTATTTTGTTTGCGTTTTTTAATCACAAATACTATATATTGAAACTAGCTTTAAGCTGTATCACGATAAGTCATGTTTCAAAATGACATCAAAATAAATCCATACAAAACAATAAAACATCGGTTCAGTGGTCTATAAAAAAATAATTAAACCGCATAACAAATGAGCACATTTAGTGTCTTGCTTATGCTCGTTTTCAATGTCCTAATGCTGGCAAACAAAGCTAAGATCGCTCCATCTGACTGCACTATTTGTAATGGTTCAATTACATTAGATAGACAGCTTAGAACAAGCTCTCACAGAGGATGCTGAGTTCACAAAATGAACCCTTTTGGGTCCAACAAGTCATAGTCATTTCTGAGTATTCTGGGTGTTTTGTTCTCTGAACTCTTTCTGAGTATCACACGTCTTAAAAAGTGAAAATGTGCAGTTTATACCCAGAGACATTTACCTTTATTTAGGGATATTCCAAAAGAAACAAACAAAAAAAAACAGATCTGTTTAAAGCATTGGTGAACATTACAAAAAGTAAGCCTATATTATTAAGACTGTAACACCTCAGTGGTACAAAATACATAAAATGATTCACAAGTGTTTCAGATATGGCAACCCAGGTTTGCACAGAGTACAGCACAAATGGGGGGATTGTGGATTGTTTTTTCATACAAGATTAGTTTCCTAGAGGAGGTGAACACTGAATAAATTCATCTTCAGTCTGACCGCACTAAAGATTATATTCTTGTATGATTTGTGAGTGCATTTCTCTGCTGAGGGGAAAGGATGGGAATAATTTTGGACATGAACAAGGCCTGAGTTAATCCTTCATTTGGACAGATGGGGGAGCTAGCTGACCAGAAGAGGCAGATTATAGCAGGAAGATTGGGTGCATGGATTTACTTGAGATTTTTCTAGATTTAAGATAGTGGTGGGTCAGGACAAAACTCTCATTTTGGTTGAGTCTTAAGGGTAAGTGGCCCTTCTGCTGTTCGGGACACATGGATGGATGTTACCAGGTGTAAATGGAAGGAAGACAGGCTGTTAGTTTCTGTCTTCCCTAGGGAAAAAAAAAATACTGACATATCATTTGAGACTTACTGATATAAAAAATATAATTAAACTTTATTTGGAGTACTACTTTCGCAAAAATTCACATTTATTAATATTAAGCCTAAAATGTCTTTTAATGTCACTATTGATGAGGATTGTGTGCTCTTTGAATAATATATTGTCTTTAAATGCAAGATATTTAAAGTGTACCTAAAGTATACTTACAATAGTTCCACTTCAGCACAATCAAATATACTTCAGTATATCTTTAGTTGGACTTCAACACTACTTCCACACAATTAAAGTGCATTAAGCACAAAATTAGTTGTTCCAATTTAGCAAACTCTACGTATACCAGTTTAGTCTACCAAAAGTTCAGTTTGGTATTTTTATTAAGTATATAATATGTAAATGTATTTGTAGTATACTTAGCATGAAATCAATGTAATTTAAGTACATTTTAGTATATTTATTTTTCACTAGGGTTCAGTCGCTTGCAAGTTAAAATCAAGTTCAACTAAAACTATAAAAACATTTTTGTTACTTGAAATTTAACTTAATTTAACTCAAATAAAATATTAAAAACCATAAACCTATTTTATTGTAGCTAATAGCATTTCTCACTTTTTTTTAAACCTGATGTAAAATAACTAAAACTGAAATAATCAAAAAAACTTATATAAAAATCGCAAAACAAAATTACCAAAAACTTTAACTATAATTAAAATGAAAACCAAAAATATATATATATATAAAAAAAAAATACTTAAAATATGTATCTTTAAAAGAAGTGCATATGGAGCTGGTATCACAGGATCACTTTTTTTTCAGCCTAGATAGTCTTAAACAAGATTAGGAATAAATAGATGGCAAGTCTGTGTCAGGCAGCATTGTGTGGGAATGCATTGTGAATGATGATCAACAGTGAGGATAGCGGAGGTGGTGAGGGGGAGTCGAGAGACGAGGTCAAAAGTACAGGTCAGGGAAGTGCTGATTCTTGGAACGGAAGTCTTGGCTGATTTTACACACGTCAGAAAAGTAACAGAAAAGTGTGAGGAATGTCCAAAGGCCTTCAGTTGAGTTTCCTTCATGCTATACACTGTTTCTTCTGTTTGAGTGTAGTAATTGAGGACATGATGGATGATGAGGTAATATCTGCAGACATGCTGAGAGAAGTGGGAACTTTCGAGGGTCCAGAACTTTCTGCTGAAGATGACGAAGGATAGTTTAGGGAAGAGGAGGTGGTGAGTAGATGGCAAATAGGGTAACAGAGAGAGGCGATACTGTCCGTCTGTGTCTGTTCTTTAAACCGGACAGCTGCTTATGTAACAACCACAAGACAAAATGGGAAGGGAGCCATTTTCTCATACATTTAAACAAATGATGTAGTTTGTTATCTTTGTAGGTCTTTCTTTTCTATCTGAAGCTCCTTATTTCGAGCTATCTGTTTCGTTTTCATCCCTTGCGGATATCCTCCCTCTCTGCGTTCTTCTGTTTTTATACTGATAGAGCGTAACCTTTTGGCTTTCGTCACTTATATTTGGCCTCTTCCTGAAACACAGGCCTGAGCACTGGAGAAAGAAGGCACAGGGTGTAGGCGGCCTTATGTAATTTCTTTGTGCTGCTCAGTGAAAACAATTAGTGGATACACATTAATTATGACTAATGTATTCTGTCAAAAGACTCACAGAGTGCAAAACAACACAAATAAACAGGACGTCTTGTAGTGTAATTTTTAACTAAACTATTTTATCATTACGTTTTTAGCATTGATAAGAAATGATTATTGAGCAGCAAATCAGAATGATTTCTGAAAGATCATGTGACACTGAAGCCTGGAGTAATGATGCTGAAAATTTTTGCTTTGCATCACAGGAATAAATAACATCTTAAAATATATTCAAATTGAAAACAGTTCTTTTAATTTTCAAAAATATTACTAGTTTATACTGTGTTTTTGACCAAATAAATGAAGCCTTGGTGAGCATAAGAGACTTAGATATTTAGACAGATGTATCTAATGCGTATAACGTAAAGAGGAAATTAATTGTGACATCATTGTAGGCTGACATTAATTAAAAGCCCTATGCTCCAATGTGCTTCGCCCCTCCACGCCATCATTATAAGTACCAATTAAATTACTGACGCCCTGCTTGTTTCAAACTGGAAAACTCTCATTGAGGATGAGGACAGAGTCGCCCACAGACTGCTGGGTTTTCTGGGACACTAAGCACTGCGGGTCTGGGACAGGGTGGCCGAGGTGACGAGGTGATGCTGGGGGGACATAAGGCAATCCCACAAGCCCTGTGAAACACAGCAGGAGATGTAGCACTGCCGTTTACACCATGAAGAGTTAAGCACCCCGCTGACTGCACACAGAAGAGGATCAAGGCCCTCCTTTCTGATTGGCTGTTACCATGTGTTCACGCAGCTGAGAGATGTTGACTGTAAAAAAAAAGTCACTCTTGCTCATGTCAAAGTCCTGCTAATTTAAACACATTTTGTTGACAAAAAGAAGGTCAAGTTTGCTTAAAATGGAGAGAAATTGCATTGGAGCATAAACTTGTAAATGATAACGTGGAGTATTTAGTTGTTTTTGCATTTGACTTAAGGTTGGAATATGCTACATGACTTTTGCCCAGATTTTTGCCCCAATTTACGGTCTGGATGAGTTGATGCTAGTCAGAGCCAGTCTGCAGATTTTGGGCAGTTGGAGTTGACAGTTTTTGCAGAAAATTGCATAGTGTATGAAGGGCACAGATGTTTTTAGGATTTCCAGATGATTTTTTTATCTTCAGACTGTGACTCCATCCAGAGATATAAAACATGTTTGAGCGCGATTTTAGAACACATATTGTTTTCATTTGTCATGTGTATTCTAGCAACATATTTCTGCATGAATTTGTTGTGTTCGTGAAGTCTGGTAGTAGTGTGTGATCCTCAGTGGCGTTTAGTGTATGATGCATATCAAAAGGAGACCTATTATGCCCCTTTTTACAATATGTAATATAAGTCTCAGCTCAAAATACCCCATATCATTTTGAAAATGCCTATTTTGAGTGAAGCAGAAACACACTGTTTTCGTGCATGTCTCTTTAATGAGCTGTTGCTCCCCGCCCCCTTTTCCAGAATAGGGTTGTGAATTTACAGCTCATTCCTCAGATGCTCTGCTAAAAAAACGTGTGTTTGATTTTGATTATCATGTATATCGCGCTGAAATCATGTGTTTTAAACCATAATTAAACTTCTGATATGAGCGCAATGTTAACGTTTGTATTGGGTGTGCCCTCACACTGCTCATGTCATGTGACCTGTCTTCCAAAAAAGGACATATGCAAATAAAGGCAGTTCCAGTTCTGATTTTTTACACGGCACCCCTGCTCTCGATAGACGGCACCCCGGTTGGGAAACACTGCATTAAAATACTGAGTAGTGAGCATGTTTTTTCCTCCGTATAATTAAATATAATTTGCTGGTTATCATACGCAAAAATGGCTGTGCCAATACACACACACATCTAAAGCACGCGCACAGAAAGCGGTTGTCACATGGCATGTGAGTGCTAAACTAAGTGCTCTTTCATGACTTATTGCGCTTAAACAGTCAAATACAAACAAGCTTATGTTAAAACACACGAGTTACAAAAACAGTCGGTAATGTCTGTGAAGGTAAACAGCTGGAAAACTGTGCAGCCAAAGACAGAACAGTTAGAACGCTTTGTTTGAACTTTCGCCATGGCGTACCATTAAACTGGTACACCGTTGTCACTTGCAAAATCACAATGGCGGCGCAGTGGGTGGAAACGTGCAGATTAAGGGGCGGTAATAT